AGTCTTTGCCAGCACCTGAACCAGTGGAACAGCCACCCAGCACTGCCTGCTGGGCCCCCTTCCTTCGACATTCTCTCAGTGCTTTCATAACTCTGCTTGTATGAATGCACTGAGATTATAAAACGGTTGTTCTGTGCCACAAAACCAGGTGCCCAAAGTTACAATAATTATAAAAAGTGYCCCTGCAATCTCTGCTGATTCAAAACTCCCCTTGGCCCTGAGGGAATCTGTGCAGTACCAGGCTGGTCTGGCCTCTCCCAGTAGACTCGGCAAGCCTTTATGGTATTTCTGTTGTATCAGTATTGAAAGTAGTTCATGTTTTATTGTAAATTACTGTTATTTRCAACTTCCAGTTTTGCAGTTCCCACTGCACAGAGATCAAGCACCCAATTTTTCCTTTGTATCCATCAATGTAAATCAAGATTAACTCCAGTCACATCAGTATAACCACGAGTATACAGCTTGGAAGGAATGAAAGGAAAATCAGTCTACAAACTACTAGGATTTTTTATTTTTAAATAGCAAAATTAATGCTGCTGTTCTGCAGACACAGGGTGACCTGCAAAGTACTAGCTCATGCATTACTAATGTATCTCCATTTAAATGCAGATTTTTGCTCTTAACACAGAACTTCAGAGAAATCCTCTCCAGATAAACTGTAATAGGATAMCAAATGGTGATTCAATATTTCGCTTTAGCTTGTGTTTCAGCTTATTGATCTTAATTTTCTATCATTTTGATGCAGAMTTTGCCTGGGGGGAAGAGGATTACATTTACTATAATACGGGTTTTAATTAATAATTAATTATTTTAATATTCCACACATCCATGCCAGCAGTGACAATCTGTTTGTATTCCTTTCCTTATTTCTAATTTCAGTGGTGGAAACCAGCAAGGTGTGATTTTACATATCTCAGGAAGTAATTGAGATACAGTTGAGAAAAGGAAGCAKAGCATAAGTATCACAGTATCTATGTGAGGCACTCTTCTCATGATAGTGTTTTGTTCTCAGTCATTTGTGGTAACAGTGGTAAGACYGTGACACTGCTTTTGCCATATGTGATGAGTTTAAGATGAAGTTTTTCTCTGTATATGCTTCCCTCAAGCAGTGCTTAAGTGCATCTTATAAGATGTACGTGAAACCTTGATAGATATTTATGTGTGTATATATATATATATATATATATATATATATATACATCATTAATACAGTTCTTAAGAGGAATTACCTGGTGTTGAGAGTGTTTTTGCAGCACCTAACATCATGACATCCAACCTAGTTATAACTAGGCCACACTATTTCTTAGCAGTGTAAGGATTGCAAGCAAGGYTTAGGTCTCATTTTCAGTACCATCTACTCAAAAATAACTCCCTACTGTGGCAGATTTTTAAATACATTTTTAGGTTTGAAGGTCTTGATTATTTATATAACTTAATTACCTATTGGTGCATTTTGTTAGCATTTCCAAATGTTCTGAAACCATTATATTTATGAATTTTCAAAATTTTACTTTCAATATCAACATTTTCAACATAGCATCCTAGAATTTGGGTTTTTTTAATTATCAGAATAAGAGCAATAAAATAGTGGGAATTGTCAGTCTCAGGGTTACTGTGATTTCTTTTGTTGTATAATTTCATCAGCAAAATAAAAAACAATGTCTAAGAAGTAATGATCTTTGTGATTATGCTTCTTTGGAAAGCTCACCTACATGCCCTCAGTTTTCTTCCGTTAAATTATTTCCAACATTCTCAAACCCAGGCAGATTAAAATATCTGCTAAATAAAACAAAAACTGCTAGAAAAACATACCTCCACTACCACATCAAAGTCAGTTGTCTCCATGCCCATGTTTAGGTCTGAATTAGTGGTATGCTGCAACCCAACTGACAGAAGTTTGTTACTGATAAGAACATAAGGCAGACAAAAACTGTCTCATGATAGATTTTGAGTGGGAGTTTTGTGGGGGGAATTGGTGGGGTTTTTTTTTCTCCCGGCATAAAAGGCAGGAACAACATTTGCTTTTAATATTGAAGTCCTTGCTGACTTTATAGATGGAGAGTAATGATAAAATAATATAGCTACAATAGAGGAGCTGGGTAGAGTATTTTTCTCATCAACAGTCCATTATCAGTAAACACAGTTTGATTGGAACCAAAGCACTAAACAAAACTTTTAAGGCTGCTGGAAGCAGGGGAAGAGAGGGTTTCAATGAAYCACTTATGGGTTTATCCAAATCAACAGTAAGGTCTCACAAAAAACAAGAGACTACTGTTGGTCAAAATCAAAACTTCCAGTGATCCAAAATAAGATTTCTTTTAATTAGAAAATTATAACATTTCCAGAGTTTTTGAAATTTTGATTTTTTTTTTTTTTAATCACAATGTGGAATCCTTTATTAAAATTGGATTTGGTACCCAATTTTAGCAAAACTATGCATACTAAATGTTAGGAAATTAAAAGGTGGTATTCTTTGGAATGTGTTTCATGAAGAGTAATCTTAATAGTGAAAATGGGTGTTGTAATGTCACGGGGTTTTTTTGCAAGACATAAGTTCATGCTAGGACTTAACAAATAAGACTGAAATTCATCTTTAAAAAAAATGGAATGGATCAGATGTGAACTGATAAAATTTTCCACTTCTTTGACCTTGTAAACTTCCATCAGAATGCATGACACAGCAGGAAGTTTGCCTAGCAGCAGCAGGTATGCACATCCTCTTATTTCCTGTACTGACACAAACCTAGTTTTTCACATTAATTACTGTTCATTTATTGAATGGAAAACATGCATTTTTAATTATGTTAGTTGAAATGTTGGTTGGTTGTGAAATCAAGTGCTTGGAATTGGTCCATTTGAGCCACGTGAATCAGCAGTGCTGTTTTACACTTTCTGCATTTTTTCATTCCAGCATTTCAAACTGATCCTTGTGGAGAAGGAAACCTGATAGAGAAAGATTAAAGGCTCCATCTAGTGGGCAGGAATTTTCTGTTGAAAGGGGAAAAACAGGCTCTCATTTTCACTAGATTTTATGCACTAAGAAATACGGCTTTAGAATTTGTTTCATTAAGCTGCCATGTTGTTGTTAATTCTTGCCTTCTGCAGAGCCATTATTTTATATGCAAAGCTGTGAAACATTAAGTATTATTCTGAGTCTTGAGCAAGAAGCAATAAATGATACTAAATGAGTGGGTTTATACAGCAGTTTATCAACAAAGTTCTGCCTCCCCACCCCTTCAAGTTTCACTATACAGTAACCAAAAGAAGGAAATTTGTGTGTCAACAAATGTTTTAAATTATTTAAGGTTCTTTCCTACTTAAAACTGACTGGGAACATTCATAACTTGACCACAGCACTTAACACAGAATTTTCTCAGTATTTTTACACAGGGAACTCTACCCACGTGTTACTTCATCATTCAATGACTTATTTACCTGCAATCAGGTAAACAGTGAAATCTGTATTTTCTGGCAAGACACAGCCCCATTGGCCTCTCTTGTGTCTTCCAAAGGCAAACACCAAAATTCATTAATGCTGGCAATTATCTAGTAGCCTGCCTGGTTCTGCTGTGTGTCCAAAAGCATCCTGACAGAATCCAGCACCTTTACTTTAGGTACTTAAYTGATCTAGTACAGCAGTACTTTTTTCCCTTTTTTTTATCTTTGCTGAAGTTCTGCAATGCATTGCAGTTACGCTCCCAGCTCCTGAACTTCAAATGGCAGCACTCTTCCATTGGCAGTAGTAAAACTTGGGTGTTGCTCTCTCATTCCAACAAGCTCAGCTAGGAGCTGAAACCTCCAGTTTACTGCAAGCTAGTAACAAGCATTGGAGCTACATAGGAATAAGTAGCAGCAAGCAGATCTGGCAATAGAGACAGGCTTTTGTCCGACTCTCCCTCCTTTTAAAGCCATAGAGCATGGCAAGATGAGTTCCTCCTGTGCAGCTTCCAGCAAGGGGTAGACACTGGAACGTGCAGTGTAGYGATGCATTACACCCACGTTTGCTATGGCCAGCATTCATATCCATCACTGGAAAATGCATCTCCTGTACAAACCAGAAAACAGAGCCTACTAAGTTGCTCTACACTCCTTTTGATCACAGGGAGACCTCTCTCTGCAGTGGGTCACTTGATGGCAAACCCGGAAGACTTTTATTTGGTTATTACTATATGATTGGGTGATTATGATAAGTCACAGACTTGATCTTCCTGAACAATTCTCCCCACTACAGCTCTCCTTATATCCTCCATGGAAATGTTTTTTTTTCTGAGGTGCCAGTTAGTAAGAGCAGTCATTTGGCTTGTTTTACAGGCTAAAGCAAAGGATATTATTAGTATTCTTCCTCTGAACCTTTCTATGAGAAAGGACTAACACAGAACAGAGTAGCTCTGGAGTGCCTCTGAGGAAGTTGGTATGATTGCAACATGCAAACAATGCTATTTCAAAAAGGGAAAAAATGAAAGCTAAAATGTAAACTGCATGTTTTGGTRTTTGTTAGAGTAATACTACTTGGTTTGTAATGAACATGAACATCTACATCATTAGACATGACAGAGCAGATTCAAATACAAAGTAGTTAAATACCACTTTTAACTGCTAGCCTTTGCTCTAGAACTGTTCCCGTTTTAAAGGATTACAGGCTTCTTGCCGAGCTAAAGCAAATCCCAAGTTTAGAAGTACACTAAGACTCTCTTTGTTTTACTTTAAATACCTTTTCTAGTGCCAGTACTTGAACTGATCCTAATTAAATACAAATTTTCAGTTGTGAAATTCTGAGGACAATAAACTGCTATAAACTCTAAATGTTAATTTGGGTATTAATTTATTGCCTCTATAGCTAATTGAAAAGTGTCATACAAGCCTTCTGATTAGATTATGTTTAGCTGGGTTATTCAGCTACGTTTTTGTTCTTTGTGGGAGCAGTGATCTTTTGAAACAAATGCATTGATGKGTTTCGGTTGTTGTAGAGAACCACTAAGTCACTTTTTTATTTTTTACAGCCAACCAGGCACTGAAGTTTGGAACACTCGTCAGTACTTCCAACACCTATGACAACTCTGGGATTGTGACCATTGAGACAGACAAACCTTTGCTGTGGACAATGGCTATCAAGAGATAAACAGACATAGCTGCCTTTTCTGATCAGACACGACTGAAATCACTACAAAATTTCACGGAATTAAGACAGTAAAGCTGTTGCAAAAGACATAAGCARGCACTGATTTTATGTATTGAATGGAAAAAAAGTCTGAAATAAAAGTCACTTGAGATTGCATCAAAAGTACTTGCAATAATAAAGTACTTCGTTCTGGTACCTCATTCTGCTTAATCAGAAGATGCATGAGCAGCCAGTCAGTACAATCACAAACAGAAATGAATATAAAGAAACTGCTGCTGCTTATCTGGTTAGTTCAGGCTACTTTTACAAAGTATTTTATTCCAATACTGCACTATWTTTTCCCCTCTTGCCAAAAGGATATACAGTATCCAGTTACATTTAGTTTAACTATTACAAAGTGATAGCACTAAGATTAAGTAATCTCATTTTTCTGTCCCAGGTTGTAGGTGTTGGTGAAGATTTCTCAAGAACAGTAATTGAACTTTTCTACTTAGGAAGCAAGTGCACTGAAGAAGCTTCAGTTTTGCTGTAACACCAGTATCAGATTTCCCAGTATTCATTGCTTTTGAAGTCAAATAGACATACCACTGTACCTTCTRCAAATACCAAATGCTTACAGTATGATTTTTGAAAATAAATAAATGTTTTAATCTGAGAAGGAAGAGCATTGCATTTACCAGTTTTTGCAGGCTCAGTTCTTCAAATCAAAATTTAGAATCATTTAAAGTAAATTTTCAGGTCAACGTGCAGAAGCCTTTTTCTAGTTCTATATACAGAACARGGTCCAAAATGGTGGTATATCCTCTCCGGGAGTGTAACCAAGTTGTGGATTTGCTGAAGCACTACTTAGTGTCTGTGACAGCTAAATTATCCTCAAATGGTACATCTCAGTAATCATTTATTAATTATGCCRTCAGAATAAGGACTGGCAAAACAACTTCTTTATTTGATGGAGTTTTTTTTGTCAACTACATAGTACAACCTAGAAGGACTTCCAAATGCAAGAAGGAATTAGTGATTATTATGGTGACTCGGAATTATTGATAAGAGTTCCCATACACTTTTGCATCACCACTTGAAAGGATACAGAAATGCTGTTTTCTTGCTGTCTACTTTTGCTGGAACAATGCTGTTCCAATGCATAATTTACTGATTAGTAAATAGCTCCTGAAGAGAGGTCATACAGCTGTCCCCCTTGGAAGCTTTCAGTATYTGACTGGACAAAACCTCAAGCAACCTCATCAGAATGGAACACTGACCCAGCTTTGTGCTGGACATTAGACTCAAGACCTTCCAAGCTTCCTTCCTACTTGAATGATTCTACTACGGTTAAAAGAAGTAACAAAACAAGCAAAACACACAACTACTATTACCAAAAAAAAGAAAAAAAAAATTTAAAAACCAAACTCCCCCTGAAATCATATGCACAGGTGTGATCACATATACCTTATAAGAGAAATAAGATGACAAGAATGTTTGAAAACCCAAACTGAGCTTGTTTAATATTGAAAAAAATAAAGCTGTGAAATCTTTGCAGCAGGTGTCACAACTGTCTTCTTCATGATGAATATTCAGCCACCTCTGTTGAGAGAACAGAATAATCAGTTTCAACCAATGAAGTCTGATCAAGTGATCCCACCTGAAGTCTAATTTATCCTCTGCCTTGTTAAGACAACCCTTACAGCTTATCTCCCATTTTCAAACAGTCCTTGCCTAGATGACCACGCTTAGAGGTATAAGCAATGATGGACACAGAAGGTATTTAATCTCTTCCAGTGCTAGAAAGGGGATATCAGCTCTGGAGAACATGAGGAATTTTAATTGGTACTGTTCATATGTCAGGACCATATTGCCAGTGAAGTTTTTCATCATGTTACATTCATTCCAAAAGGGATTTCACAGAATGCAGTTACACGTAAAACAAATTTCAAACATACCTAGGACTCAGTAAATGAAACAAGACCAACTTTGTTCCATGCCCTGTCATCCTACAGCACACCCACTCACTTTACCTTACCGTCCATCCATTTACTTTGGACACCCAAATTATAAACTAGAAACAGTRTAAGTATAAAAGATCCAAATAAGGTAAATGTTCTGTGGTCAAACATACACTAAGAAACTGGAAATCAAAATTTCTGATGTTCAGTTTTGAAGCAGAACACTCAGAAAAAACCTTAAGAACTGTGGATCTAATACTTTGCAGCATGCTGAATTAACAACCTACTTGTTTATAAAGTCCTTTGACTCAAATAATACTTGTCATATTAMACTAACATGTGAAATGCATAGCCAGTAAAGCAATATAGGTCCTGTAGTATTTGCTAATGTCATCTGTTTAAAGCTGAACAGGTAAAAATTTAGTGAAATTGAAGGTCATATTCACTTACACAATTATATTGTTGATTGGAATATGGATCAGTTTGACAAAGAAACCAATAAATCCCATTATCGCAAAGCCTATTGCTGTTGCCATGGCAATCTTCTGGAACTCTGCAAAATACAAAAAAAAAAAAAGAAAAATTGTCAGGAAGCCTCATGTGTGGCATACAGATGTGCACTGCAGTGACCAAAAGAGAGATTTCTCTTTACAGACCAACATTAACACTGGAAACACTTCAAAAACTTCTCAGAGGCTGAGAAACAAATCCACTTTTTCAGAAGACAGATAACATTTTCAGAGAGAAGATGCTGATTTCCAGGAAGAATGGTCAATTACAATCTTTTTAAAATAAGCAGAATCAGAAACACCCACAGTCCATGACAATGCATGGAATATTTATCTCATTACCTTTCCTTTACATCCTTACAAGCCCTGAAAGTAATCCCCAATGCAGTATTGAAAATGGAAAATCTGCATTTATGTCTGTCTCTGGCAGACAGCACAGTAAGTCCCTGCAAAAATAGAGTACTTGGGATGTTTTCAATTATTTTAGGACAGCAGCCATGAAGTTGACTAAGAAGGTCAACAGCCCCTCAAAAACCTGCCAGTCTGACAAGGAATGAAGTTCCTTACAGATCTCAAAAGTTGCTAGCAAACTTAAGAGTCACAGACCTGTTCACCCTGAGTACGTCACTGAAGACTGTAACTATCATTAAGGATGACCAGTTGCACTCTGGTTATAGTTACAGCTTCTCTCCAGGGCCTCTCTAGTCTAAAACCTCATCTTCCATACTCCCTGCAACWAAAYTGTCCCAATCAGGAAGTGACTGACAACTGTGAAGCACTGAATTTCAGCTATTTAGCCTTTCATAAGTGGAGTTTTAGTACTGCTCACACACCTACATATGTACCAAAAAAGAACACGTTCAAGTTAGTTATAGCCAGAACCTTAAACACACTGACAATTAGACAACTAAAGCTCAAGTTTAAATCTCATATTGGCAGCTGAGAAACATTGACAGCAACTGAATCAACAGAAGTGACGTATGGAAAGACACCTGCTAAGATATGAGATGATATAAGGATTGTGTTCTGATTTAKTGTGTGCTTTACCTTTCCTGTCAGGCTTGGTGCATCTCTTAACAAGTCGTATGGAGTCTTTTACAAACTGACGGCTGGGTTCCACAAATTGCATTACCTGATCCATGATTACCTGCAAAGACAAACACTTTTAACATTGATGGTTCCACATATATACTGAAAACCGGTTTTTTTTAATTACCGAAGTAGCAGTTACCTACAGAATTCGTTAAAGACTTAAGATAACTTAAAATGTCATATTCCAACCTAAGATAYTTCCACTTTGCAGCAAATTAAGACACTGTAGCAGTCAATAAACACGAAGGCCTATTTCTGACTGCAAAGTAAAAAAATACGGAAACTTAGCCTTTCAGCCTAGAAGAGGAAAACAACAGACTGCCTTTCATCTGATGTCCTACCCCGCGTTTCTGAGAACATCACCCAAGGCGTCTAAAGAGACAAATGCCCTGGTTTCAGGAGACCCCCACGCCAAAGCTGCCGGGGGTTGGTGAGCACGGGAGGACTCTGTGGCCCTCACGACAGACGAGTGCCAGCACTGCTCCCGTCAGGACACCGGGCCGGAGGGATCTGCGGCCATCAATCCGTACGGACCCGCTGGCAGGAAGGAGGGCCCCAGCACGATGCCGGCCCTTCCCCATCGCTGTCCCCCGCAGTCCCCCCTTGCCCGGCCCCGGAGCGCTCCCAGCCCCGCTGCTCTGCCCCTCATCCCTCATCCCGGACCCCGATTCCCGGGACACCCGCACCCTCCGCCGGCCTCACCGCAGGCCCAGGGACACGTCGCACTGAGCAGCCCGGGGTGTGACGTCACAGCGGCGGGCGGGGCGGATTTTGAGTGCAAAAGGAGGGTTTTTGGGGGCGGGGTTTTGCTCGGATCGCTTTTCCCTTCCGGTTCCCGGGGCCTGTCGCTCCTCCCGCCTCTCCGGCGGGGGCTGAGCCGGCTCTGTCCGTGCCCCTGGAGCCTTGGGATCCGAGAGCCTCCTTGCGGGAAAGAAAGGGAAGAAGGCGCAGCTATYCTCCCAGGACGAGAGGACATGGCCTCAAGCTGCGCCGGGAGAGGTTTAGGTTGGACTTTAGGAGGAGTTTCCTCACAGAAAGGGTGTTTAGATACTGGAATGGGCTGCCCAGGGATGTGGTGGAATTGCCGGCCCTGGAGGTGTTTAAGGAAGAGTGGACGTGGCGCTCGGTGCTATGGTCTGGTTCACAAGGTGGTGTTGGGTCGTAGGTTGGACTTGATGATCTGAAAGATCATTTCCCACYTAAMTGRTTCTCTGATATGCCTGTAACAAATGCTGTTCRTTCAAGGGATGGCAGCCCTCTGCCCCTGAAGAAATAAGACCCAACTGACCAAAAAAAAAAAAAAAAAAAACCCATGTAAAACTTGTTCAGGCTGTGACTGTCCTTGMGCCAGAGACCTGTTGGTTTGTAGAAATGCTGGAGCCTTTGCGAACTAAGGAAGTTCATCACCTTTGAAAACACAGGATTTTTCTTTTGTAAAGAAGCGTGCAGTGCTCAAAGGTGGGAAAGCTCTGTACATTTCAGTGCCACAGGTGTAGTGTAGGACACTTCCTTGCATGAGGGGGAAAAGAGGCTGTCACTGCCTAAAGGGAGCACTTCCTTGCTGATTCATMTTGTAACAGGTAAAGGAAGAACAAAAAGAGCATGGATTTTTTAAATTTTTTTTTTTATCCTTACTTTGCTTTGGATGTTACTGATTTTGGTCTAGAGCTCTGTTCCTAGTTGACTGCCACCTTTGAGTTTATCTTGAGTATCCAAAGCTTATTAATTATTCATCAGACTGTGGGGCCTCTGCAGCCACTTTTGCAAATGCTTTGTTGATCTCAAGTTCCTGAGGCATTTAAGCATACACAAAATATTTTCTGGGCTTAAATTTTTGCTGATAGGTTTCATTACAGGTAAAGTACAATCATATCAAAGTAGGGCAGTAGGGAGTTGTTGGTCATTCCATGGAGTTTTTTGGCAGCCACCTTGTCTCTGCCCACAGGGCAGGACCCTCAATGTTGCCAGTCTCCTTCAGACATGAGCTCTCTACTTGGCTTTGGGGARTATATTGGCTTGAGGTCCTCTTCAAGTTCTCTCCAAAAGTCTGCTTTTGGATTGGACTTTACTGTGAATGAAAATTCATGCAGCACTGTTCCTCAAATGGGGCCATAATGTTGGTGGCCAAATTCTGCTGGATCTTTTCCATTGGCACACCASTAGAGTGTCAGTCAGGCCTCTCACAGTAGATAGATGTCTAATTTGTCTCTTGTTTTTGAAGCCAGTTTGCAGTCTGCAGGGATGTAAGGAAGAAGGGGGGGGGAAGATCCTTAAGGAAAGCAGCAAAAGGCTGATAGCCATAGTGCACAGTGTGTGGTGGGGCAGAGTCGGTTGCTGAATGAGAACCCATATGTAGAGGAATGAGAATCCATATGTAAAGGCATTTGGTGGTTTTGTCTTCTTTGGTTTTTTACTTCAGTGTCACAGATAATTGCCAGAGACTTTACCTTCAGAGGAAATTCACATTTCTAGCTATGCTGCATGAAGAGCATTGCTGTGAACCATCTCTGCAGTGAATGGAACCAAAAAGCACTGATTGGAAAAAATTTACCTGATAAAAGAAGAAGTGTATGAAACAATTAATGACACAGACATCTGGTTTGATGAGATKTTTATTTTAGAAAGTATTTGCTGAAATAAAACTTGATTTTCCCAAAAATCTCTATTTTAAGTTGTTTTTCCTTGGGATAAATTTTCTGGAGAAACATAGCACATCTTGCCTGACTTAACAATGTGACTTTGTAATGAATTTGTACTATGGGTTGTCTAGGGTGGGGTAGGAGGTATCATTTGTTCTATCTCCACTTCAGCAGCTTAGGAGAGAGGCAAAGTCCTGAAATGCATTT